TTTGAGTTATGGTGTTGGAGGAGAATACTGAAAGTTCCATGAGCTGCCAAAAGAACCAATAGATCTATTTTGGAAGAAGAGTCAGAGTGCTCCTTTGGCCAAGATAGCCAAACTTTGTCTCTCATACTTTGGATATATTGTCAGGAGGGACCAGTCTCTGAAGAAGGATATCATGTTTGGTAAGGTGGAGGGTCAAAGAAAAAGAGGAAGACCCCCAATGAGATGGACTGGCCAAGTGGCAGCATTGATGGACTCAAGCGTGGCAACAATAGTGAGGTTGGCCCAGCATTGGGCAGTGTTTTGTTCTGCTGTGCATATGGTCGCTATGGGTCAGTACTGACTCAATGGCACCTAACAACTATAACATATTAGTTTGACGACTACCATGTGCCTTACTATGGTATTTTCAGTGACCTCATATGCATATGAAAGTTGGACAATGAATAAGGAAGACTGCAGAAAAATTGATGCATCTGAATTATTATATTGTAGGAGACTATTAAAAGTACTGTGAGAAGAACAATTAAATCTGTCTTAGTGCAGCCAGAATGCTCCTTAGAAGCAATGATGCTAAGACTTCGCCTCTCATAATTAGGACATGTTATGTTACCAGGAGGGACCAGTTCATGGAGCAGGGCATCATGCCTGGTAAAACGGAGGGTCAACGTGACAGAGGAAGACTCCCCAATAACGTGGATTGACACAGTGGCAGCAGCTATGTATTCAAGTGTAACAGCAATTGAACAATTTAGTGGAAGGCTCAGGACCCGGAAGTGCTTCCTTCTATTGTGCATAGGGTTGCTAGAGTCACAACTGACTTGATGGTACCTGACAACAACAACATTACTGTAATGATGTCCTTTTCTATCATTATAATAATAGGTATTATTCATCAAAAAGAGGAAGACCCCCAATAAGATGGATTGACACTGTGGCAGCATCGTGGCAGGATCACTGGGTTCAAACATAACAATTGTGAGGATGTGCAGGACTGGGCAGTGTTTCTTTCTGTTGTGCATACTCATAGGGTGATTCTGAGTTGGACCTGACTCAACAGCACCTAACAACAACAATACTACCATAGTAGCAGGCAGGCTGATTAAATTATTGCCTAAATCAATTTTTAAAAAGAATTTTTCTTGTTGGTCAATGGAAACATTTATAGAAAAAATGGAAAAGGGTGATATTTGTTTAATCTTTTTGCCCCTCCCTCTCAAAACACACACAATCTTTACTACATTAATTTAGAATTCTGGCTTTAATATAACATACATAAACAAAGCCTGGAAAATGAAGACAAGCTCAGATGACTTGTCAATCAAGGTGTTGCAAGTCACTCCAACAGATTAGCAATAGCTGCAAATAAAAATTAATGATGATATATAAATAATTCTTTCTTCCCATAAATCTTGGAAACAAAAATCTGGTCTCAGTTGCACACTTTTAATGTACTTCCCCATTTGGATGATGTGAAACTTTCAACAGATATAAACATCTCCATATGCAAAGAAGCTTCATGGCAGTGTGTTTGACTACACATTCCAAATTTTGAAGAGAAATGTTGAAGAATTACTTTGAACCTGCTTTTACGTTCTAAAAAGAAGCAAATTTGAAATATTTATAAATCTAAGAGGTCAAGTTATTTTTTTTATTCAAAAATAATATATCTTCTAACGTGAACAAAGCCAATTAAGAAGGACAGGGACGAGGGCTAACCCTGCTCTTCCCTGCTTTGTCAGTAAGGAAGTTGGCAGGAATTGACAGAGGAGAATGCGTTTAGTGGTTTTCCCACGCTGTACAGTTAAAACAGCTCATCGTAGAGGTTTAAACTGGTCCGTCTCCCTAGAAGGTGAAAAAAAGACAAAATAAAACTAAAATCATTCCTTTTTTTTTGCTTGCTTTCTTCTCCTCTCCTTCTTCCCTTCCCCACCATCAGTTTTTCTCCTCATTCCACCCCCCTCCCACCCTTTATTAGCTACCTTCTGAATGTTTTCTTTACTTTTCTTTTTAATTAGGAGTTTTAATCTGTTGCTTACTTATATTAAAGGAGTGGAAGCTCATTTTACTTACATCATTTATTATTAAAAGCAATCTTGTTAAGAGGCAGAGATATTAAGTGATGCTTCTGAAGTCATAGTAGTGGGCCCACGATTTAAAGGCAGGAGGACTGATCTCAGGGATTGTGACCCGTCGAGTGATTCTGCCTTACGGATCTTCACATTCTTGTTGTTTTTAAGTGCCATAAAGTTGTTTCCAACTCACAGCGCCGCTGTAGAGGGTTTCCGAGGTTTTAAAAATCTTTGCAGGAGCAAAAAGCTTCATCTTTCTCCTGGCAGAGCAGCTGGCAGCTCAAACCACGAACCATATTATCATATGGAACCTCCGCAATTCTAGTAAGGAATAAATAGTACTGGTGTGGCGCTGTAGGATAAGCACTTGACCACAAGGCCTGTTTGAACCGCAAAGTCAGTGTTTCGAACTCACCAGCTACTCCTTGGAAACCCTATAGAGAGTCGCTGAGAGTCGGAACCAATCAAACAGAATTTAACTACAATTGAGGCTTCTAATTGCTGAAGTGGATGTATTTCTCACTTTGTGTGAGGCACTAAATCGGCAATTTAGGAGGTAGGTATAAATAACCACGTTTTACAAACAAAGACACAGCTGTGGAAAACTGACTTGGCCAAGACCACACAGCTGGGCATTCAAACTAAGTCTCTTATCTACTATTTTAAAGCTATTTTCATCTGTTACCTCATTTAAAGACTATGCCAGCCTCAAGTAAGTTCTCCATAAATACTTGTTGCCTGAACGAATAGATGTTGATTCACATGCTGAGAGTTAGGCAAGAGGCAATTGGGGTAACTGAGTCTCTGAGAAGTTAGGCAACTTGCTCAGTCAGTCAGCTAGTAAGCTGTGGAACTAGGCTGAGGGCCCAAGTCTTTCCACACGTCCTACTGGGGGAAGAATGCTGCCCAGCTGTATGAGAGGCAAGAAAGGAATCCTCCGCAAACTGCTTTTTTTTAAAAAAAAAAAAAAATGCAGCTCTCACACACAATGAAGTACTTAGGAGTGAAGTTTCAGGAGGCTTGTGAATTACTTTCCAATAGTTGGGGGGGGGCGGGGAGATGGAGAGGGGGCGCAAAATACGAATATTCATTGTACTGTTATTTCAACCTTTATGTAGGTTTGAAACCTTCAATAAAAAGTGGGGGGGGAAACAAGGGAAGGAGAACGGAAGAGATGGAAGGAAGGAAGGAAAGAAGGGTGGATTTACCCTCTGAGATTCTCCAGTGCCCTTACGCTGATAAATGTAGAATCTATCTAGTGTCTCATGACTATCAAGTGATCTATAGTTAAGATTACCTAAACATGGTGTTTAAATAAATGAAACACACTGAAAAGAATCAAAGTCTGGGCCTCTATGGATATGTTTTTAAATGGGCAGATAATCCTGAAATTAAGTAAAGTGGGGACGTGGTGGTTATAGGCCATGGAGTCGGTTCTGACTCATAGAGACCCTGTACAGGGTTTCCAAGCTGTAAATCCCTGCAGGAGCAGAAAGCATCATCTTTGTCCTGCCAAACAGCTGGTAGTTTCCAACTGCTGACCTTGAGGCTAGCAGCCCAACTCATAACAACTAAGCTACCAGAGCTCCTTAAGTAAAGTACTGTCCATTTATTCAAAGAGCACTTGCAGTTTCAATAAATCTTGTGAACAATTCACCACCTAGCTAAAATGTATGACTTTCCCTTCTATAAAACTAAGAAAGAATATCAATGTTTGAAATGATGTAACTTATTTTGCAAACATGAATTCATTTTGCAGGAATGACAAGATTTAGATACTCGATATTCTTAACTGCTTTCATAAAAATAATCTTAATAGATGAGTCTTATTTTGGCTTTAATTGTGTTTAATTACAAAAAAAAATAATACAACACAATAAAAAAGAAAACGTAGAGAATAAAACTAACAGGCAGTAAAATTTTTTGTGGTAAATACATTTCATAGTTGATCTTTTAGGGCCTTGTAACTTATATGTTAGAGTCCTGGTGTGGTGCTGTGAGTTAATGCGCTGTACTGCAAAGTCAATTTGAGCCACAAAGTTGACAATTCAAGCTCACCAGCTGCTCCTCAGAAACCTATACAAAGTCACTATGAGTTGGAATCAACTCAATGGCACTTAACAACAATAACAATTTATAAGTTATATACTTCTAAAGTAATATATGATTATCAATTTTTTAATAATATAGTTCAGAAGAATGAAAAACTTGTTAACAGTCCTTGTACCCAGAAACAGCTATCATTTTACACTTTGGTTTGATTTCTTTTGGCTCTTTTTTCTATCAATTGTGGTGTTTCCCTCTTATTTATGTAATTGTATACTACTCAATGTCAACTAATGACCACCACAACAAACTAGGTAACAATTTTTGTCTATCCAATCCTTTTCAATAACACAATCTCATAAGCATTTTCAATACTATTGCAGTCTTAAAAAAATATGCTTTTTAGGCGAGGAAATAAAAAATAATAAGAAACTTGCATAAGTAAGTCTAATTTTTTAACTCTATAATTACAATGCTTATTTGCAAAAACCCAAACCAAAGAACACTTCAACTTACCCCACAACAGCCGCAACACTGGCAGTCTCCACAGAGGGTCCCCAGGAGGCCGTTGACCACCTGGATGGCACAAAGGACCATCTGGATTCCTCCAATCACCAGCAGGATGGAGAAGAGGGTCAGATTCCAGGGTACCACATTGACAGGGTCTGAGCACTTGTTCCATAAATTCGTATCACTGAGGTAATTCCTGTTAGTGACATGGGACAAAAGGGGACGTTTGTGAAAAAATAAACAATATTCTACATCAGAGAGTCACTATGATAGTTTTTCCTGGGCAATACTTCCCATTCACAACATAAACTCCATGAGAAAATAACCAGTAATCTGTTGCCATTGAGACAGTTCTGATGAATGATGATCCCATGTGTGTCTGAGTAGAACTGTACTCCCTTCATAAGATTTTTATGGAAGTTGATCACCAGGCTTTTCTTCCTAAGTGCCTCTTGGTGGACGTGAACATCTGACTTTTCAGTTAGAAGCTGAGCACGTTAATCACTTGTGCCACCAGGGATTTCCCATAACTCAATACCCTGTAATATGAATTTAAAAAGCAATACCTAACTCATTGGGTACATTTTATGTGCTGGTCCCTGTTCTAAACACTACATTTATTCCTCATAAACTTTATGACTCTTTTCTTACGCTTTACAAATGAGGAAATTGAGGCACAGAGAGGTTAAGTGCCCCAAGGTTACATAGCTGGTAAATTAAGAACAGTTTGTCTGAGCAAAATGAGAGATGGGTAAGTTTACAAACTATGATGGGGCCAGCAGTAGAACCTGACAAACGCTCAGGGTTATCCCAGCTTTTGTCAGAAAAGACCATTTCGACTTTTGACAAATTACTTGTCAAGTCTAGCAGCCAACTGAAGTCATGTAAAATACATTCATTTCATGTGGATAAGACCTTGTTGTAGCCAGATTGTGAATTTGACTCAACTGTATTTTTGTTAAACGTGTAGAGATTCCAAAAATATTTTATTAATTCTCTGTAAAAGGAAGAAATCTGCTACCTTAATGTGTATTTTTACCAACTTTGAATTAGGGAAAACATTTCTCTACTGCAATATAAAATCTGCCTACTACTGTGCTTTATTGACCAGGCAAAGACTTTCGATTGTGTGGATCATGATAAGCTGTGGACAGCATTGTTAAGCATGAGCATTCCAGTGAGTGTGCTCGTGAGGATCCTGTACATAGACCAAGAGGCAGTTGTTTGAACAGAACCAGGGAATATTGAATAGTGTAAAATCAGGAAAGGTGTGCCACAGGGTTGTATTTTTTCTCCATATTTATTCAATCTGTATAATGAGCAGATAATCGAAGAAGCTGGGTTATATGAAGAAAAACGTGTTATCAGGATTGGAAGAAGACTCATTAACAACCTGCGATAGGCAGATGATACAACCTTGCTTGCTGAAAGTGAAGAGGACTTAAAATACTGATAAAGATTAAAGACCACAGCTTTCATCACCACTGGACTAATACACAACATCCATATGAATGGAGAAAAGATTGGAGTTGTCAAAGACTTCATTTTGCTCAGATCAACTATCAACACTCATGGAAGCAGCAGTCAAGAAATCAAATGATGTATTGCATTTGGCAAATCTGCTGCACAAAACCACTTTAAAGTGTTGAAGAGCAAAGATACCAGTTTGAGGACTAAGTTGCAAAATACCAAGCCATGGTATTTTGAATAACCTCATATGCATGTGAAAATTGGACAGTGAATAAGGAAGACGGTAGAAGAATTGATGCATTTGAGTTATGGTGTTGGAGAAGAATACTGAAAGTACCATAGACTGCCATAAGAACAAATATATCTGTGTTGGAAGGAGTACAGCCAGAATGCTCCTTGGAAGCCAGGATGACCAGACTTTGTCTCTCATACCTAGGACATATTGTCAGGAGGGACCAGTCACTGGAGAAGGATATCATGTTTGGTAAAGCAGAGGGTCAAAGAAAAAGAGGAAGACCCCCAGTGAGATGGATTGGCACAATGGCAGCATCAATGGGCTCAAATGTAGCAGCGATTATGAGGCTGGTCCAGGACTGGGCAATGTTTAGGCCTGTTGTGATATGAGTTGTGCTGAGTCAGTACCTACTCCATGGCACCTAACAACAACAAAAACTGCTATATAAAGAACACTGTGCCTTGAAGGAGAAATGTGAAGTGTGTTGCTTTTGAGACAAAAATGAGAGCTAAGTGGGTGAAATCCTATATAGTACTCCATATAGTAAGTTCTCCATTAGTGCTTATGTGTTAAGTCCCTGGGTTATGAACAATTAAACCAACCCTGACCTGTAACAAATTCTTCATCACAATTGTCTCATTTGTTGCATATGCAGCTTTTAAATAAGAAGGCTTTGACTCTTTTCTTGTACTAAAGTTAGGCTAACTAAAAACTGTATGCACCTGTTTTTGTCTTGCCTATAAATTCTATTTACCAGCAAATTTCCAAGGAATGGATCTTGTTGATAACTGAGGAACTGTCTGCATTATCATTATTCTACTCTGACACCTAATCTGAACAGTGTAGATTAATGGCAGGACCCTGGTAGTTTGGATTCACAGGAATCTGGATTTGAATCCAAAGACTCTCTCGTTGTTATTAGGTACCATTGATTTAGTTCCAATTTAGAATGACCCTATGTACAACAGAATGAAACACTGCTCAGTCTTGTATCATGTCCACGATTGTTCAATTGTTTGAGCCCATTGTTGCTACGACTGTCAATTTATCTCACTGAGGGTCTTTCTCTTTTTCACTTGGAAATCCTATTTTTCACTTGGGTCGAAATTGACTCGACAGCACTTAACACAACAACAACAACCAACTATGAGGTCCTTCTCCAAGGGATGTTCCCTCCTTTTGACATTTCTAAAGTACATGATGAAGTCTCATCATGCTCGCTTCTAAGACGCATTCTGGTTGTACTTATTCCAACATAGATTTGTTCATTCTTCTGGCAGTCTGTGGTATATTTAATAACCTTTGCCAACATCATATTTCAAAGTCATCAATTATTCTTCAATCTTGCTTATTCATTGTCCAACTTTTGCAGCATGAGGTAATTGAAAATACCATGGTTTGGGCCAAGCACACTCTCAAAAATGTCATCAAAGTGACATCTTTGCTTTTTAACACTTTAATCACACTTTAGTGTCTTTGACAGCAGATTTCCCCAATACAATATTTTGTTTGATTTCCTGACTGCTACTTCCTGATTGTGGATCTAAGTAGGATGAAATTTTTGATGATTTCAATTTCTTCTGCATTTAGCATGACGTTACTTATTGATCCAGTAATATGCACTCTCCTCTTACTGTATTCCTTGTACACACTACCGAGGCTCCCTAACTATGAGTTTCTTCATCTAGAAGATGAACTAAATGAACACCATCTCACTATTGTGGTGAGAGTTTTCTGAGATTATGCACCTTATGTATCGTATGAAATCAGTTGCTGTCAAATCGACTATGAATCCTGGTGATCCCAGGCACATTCAGAAGAGCACTGTGTTCCTTAGGGTTTACAAGGACTAATTTTTCAAAAGTAATACCTTCCGAGGTTCCTTTGAGTGCACTTGGACCTTCAAACTTTTGGTTAGCAGTCAAGAAGGTTAACTATTGCATTACCCAGTGACTCCATTATTGCATAAAACTATTCTTTCAATATTCCCCCCTACACATTTGTTGTTGTTGTTATTGTTATTGTTAATTGCCATCAAGTCAGTTTTGACTTATAGTGACCCTGTATGGGATTTCCAAGGAGTGGCTGGTGGAATTGAACTGCAGACCTTGTGGTTAGCATCCCAATGCTTATCCTAGAGCACCAGAACATATTTCTACTCTGCATTTTTCCATGTAATCATTTCAATTTATAAACTTGTTGATTATTGTTGTTGTTGTTGTTAAGTGCCGTCGAATTGATTCTGACCTATAGCAACGCTGTATAGATTTAAGGAGCAGCTGGTGAGCTTGAACCACCGACCTTGCAGTTCAAACGACTTTGCAGTCTGACGCATTAGCCCATAGCGCCACACCAGTACTCCATTTTTTTTTTATTATAAGAGGCTACAAAGATAGACTATTTCCTAGGCACACTTTACAAAGAAAAGGTCTTCAGATGAAGTTATTTGGCAATCCTGAGTTCTTTTCCAGCGTCTTGAGAGTTTGCATAGTGGTGGACAACACCGCCACCTTGTGGTAAAATGAAACACTCATTGGAGGAGTTTTCTGACAACACCTGGTTTACTAATGCAGTTTGTTCCTGTGTCTTTAAGAATTTGTAGATTAATTAAAACAGGTGCTCATGGTTCTTAATTAGCCTTACTTTGGGGTAAGAAAATGAAATTATTTAAAATCTGTGTGTGAAGCAAGGGAAGGTAAATGTGATGAAGAACTTGTTACTAATAGGAGTCCTGGTGTGGCGCTGTTGGATAAACACTGGATTGCTAACCACATGTTGGCAGTTCAAACCCACTAGCCACTCCTTGGAAACCCTATACAGGGTTGCTATGAGTTGTAACTGACTCAATGGCACTTAACAACAACAAGTGTTGGTTCCAGTATTTCAAAAAGGGCATATTTACATAACGTTAAAGGACGAGTAGGTTTTGGTATCATAGTGTGGTACTATAAAATAAGCAGTTGACTGCTACCTGCAAGGTCAGGGGTTCAAACCTACCAGTCACTCCTTGGAAACCCTGTGCAGGGTCACTATGAGTGGGTACCGACTTGATGGCACTTAACGAGAACAATAACCTTGTTGTAGGCAGGTGCCAACAAGTTGATTCCGTCTCATAGCAACCCTATGATCAACAGAATAAACACTGCCTAGTCCTGTGCCATCCTCACAATTGTTACACTTGAACCAGTGTCTGCTGGCACAGTGCCAATCCATCTTACTAGAGGTTTTCCTCTTTTTTGTTGCCCCTGCACTTTACCAACCATGATGCCCTTCTTCGGTAACTAGTTCCTCCTGATAACATGTCCTAAGTATGAGACATGAAATCCTACCATCCTTCCTTCTAAGGAACATTCTGTACATCTTCCAATGCAGATTTGTTTGTTCTTCTGACAGTTCATGGTACTTTCAATATTCTTTTCCAACACCATAATTTAAAAGCATCCATTCTTTTACAGTTTTCCTTATTCATTGTCCAACTTTCACATGCATATGAGACAATTGGAAATAACATGGCTGAGTCAGGAGCACCTTAGTCCTCCAACTGACATCTTTTCTCTAGAACACGATAAAGAGGTCTTGTGGAGCAGATTTGCCTGATGCAATACATCACTTGATTTCTTGACTGTTCCTTCCATTAGTATTGATTGTGGATCCATGTGAAATGAAGTCTCTGACAATTTCAATCTTTTCTCCATTTGTCTATCATGTTATTTATTTTTCCAGTTAGAGTTTTTTGTTTATTTTTTTGTTTGTTTTTACATTGAGGTGCAAATCATACTGAAGGTTGTAGTATTTGGCAGTCATCAGTATTTTAAGTCCTCTTCAATTTCAGAATGCAATTATTATAGGTTTTTAATGAGTCTTCCTCTAATCCTGAGGCAAGTGAGAGTTGTTTGAAAATGAGACATTCCTAACTGGGGAATGCCTATAATAGCAAGGACTGAGTGTGGATACCTAGAAAACAACCTTTTACAACTGCTCCTGCTGTTGCTCCACCCTCACAAAGCCACACTAATAGCCATTCTCCCCACAAACACTGAGAGGACAGCAACAGTTCCATGAGTCTCAGAGATCCCAGAAAAGGAAGCTATACTGCACATGCAGTTAATTACTGTGTGGAACATACCAATCCTGAGGTGAGAGGAAGTCATCATCTTTCATAGACCTGTTGTTATTGCTGTTGTTAAGTGCCATCAAATTGGTTCCGACTCATAGCAACCCTGTATAGGGTTTCCGAGGAGTGGCTGGTGGGTTTGAACCGCCGACCTTTTGGTTCAAAACTACCTCATGGTCCAATGCTTATCCTACAGTGCTATACCAGGATTCCCCATAGACCTGTTGTTGTTGTTGTTGTTGTTAAGTGCCATCGAGTCGGGTCCGTCCCATAGCGACCCTGTACAGGGTTTCCGAGGGTGTAAATCTTTACGGGAGTAGAAAGCCTGATCTTTCTCCCGCGGAGCGGCTGGTAGTTTCGAACCGCTGACCTTAAAGTTCGCAGCCCGATTCGTAACCACTACACTACCAGAGCTCCTTGTTAGTGAATCATAATTCCACATTTTCTAAGACAAGGGGAGCTGAAGCAGTTTAAACCCAGTTAACTAGCATTTTTTGATGTTGGTGTTATTGTTAAGAGCCGTCCAGTCAGTTCCAACTCATAGCAATCCTGTATAGGGTTTTCCAGGAGCAGCTGGTGGGTTTGAACTGCTGACTTTCTGATTCACAGTCTAGTACTGACCTTACAGTGACACACCAGAGCCTCCAATGAGTTTGAAGGATATTTCTAATCAACTGCACTAATTGCATCATCATCAACAACAAAACAACACAAAAAAGCCCAAAGCAGCTGCTGTCAAATGGATTACAACTCAGAGCGATCCTATCACATCACCATTGGAGTAGAAAACCATAGCTTTCACAAAATTGACTTCTCACCAGTAACACAGGTAACTGCAAAAAGGCCTAAGGGGAACCCAGATGCTTTGCTCAACTTACTTTGCTTGACTAATTCAGGTGCCACCTCCTTTGAGAAGACCTACTGGATGCCTCTCCTGCCTTCAGTCAATGTTTGGTACCCACTCTGCACCCTGTTTTCCTTTCATGCAGAGCACTTATGACGCATGCTGTCATTGTCTGTCCTCCTGTCTGCTTTTCTTAGGTCTGTAAACTCACAAAGGCAGGGACCATATTCTAGCTATCTCTGCCCCAATGTGAACACAGAGATGTCCATATGATAAGCACTGGACTGCAAAACACAAGGTCTTCAATTCGAGCCCACCAGTCACTCTGTGGGAGAAAGATGAGGCTTTCTGCTCCCTCAAAGATTTAAAAAGTTGGAAACCCTATCTAGGGTTGCAATGACTCAGAACTGACTCACCAGTACGAACAACAACAAGGAGCCCCTGGTGGTACCATCTGCTAAACAATAGCTTGTTGTTGTTGTTATGTGCCGTGGAGCCGGTTCCGATTCATAGCGACCCTGTATAGGGTTTCCGAGGCTGTAAATCTTTACCGGAGCAGAAAGCCTCATCTTTCTCCCGCGGAGAAAGTTTCGAACTGCTGACCTTGAGGTTCGCAGCCCGATTCGTAACCACTACGCTACCAGAGCTCCAGATTCACCCTCCTGACTGCCCTCCCTGCAGCAGTTGTGGGATGTTTCCCACTTAGCACAGAGTGAATTTACATCTTAAGTGGGATTAAATTCTCAAGTCAGGGCATGTGGGAAATAGTCAAAATCACTCAACATAAATAGTCAAAATCACTCTTGAATACTGCACTAATAACCTGGAAAGTGTTATTTATATGGATTTCTACATGCAGCATTGCACAGTCACTTCTGAGCCACAGGGCTGATCTAGGTAACCCAACCCTCCTTCCGTTAGATAATGATGAAAGCCCAATTTTAAGTGGAGGGTGGGTGGAGAATTCTGAACGGTTCCTGATTGCCTACAGGGTTTATTCTGTTTTTATTATGAAACCTCCACAATCCATGTTGGTGGATGGGTTAGTTGTGGGGATTAAAAAAAACAATACATGTGAGCACCTCTATCACAGAGCAATACTCAAGGACTGTGAAAAGAAGCTTGCTCCATCTGAATGACAAGAATACTTTGGACAGTGGTTTCCTGTCTTTTCCCCAAGTTGGCATTTCCTCTGGTGGCCCACAGACCACCTGTCACTCTCCTGATTTTGGGCATTGTCCCATTGCATCCCAAGCAGGCTGTGAGTGTATGAGGGGAGGGTGTTAGGTTCTAAACTCAGAATATACGACACCATAGAACTGCTTTGGGATGTGTTACTTGGTATTTGTTATGTTCCCTTACTCTCCCTTATTTTGAATATATTCTAATTGATTTTAAATTCATCAAATGTACCATCACTCAGTGAGCAGAATATGTAGAAAAAAATGTCTAATGCTTCTCTGATGCTGTTGAAAAAAAACAACAAGGAAAAGGACCTTGAAAGATGCTATCACCTGTAGCTTCACAGACACACCTCAAAGTGGAACACATCAAGCCATCAGGGGAAGAACCCCAAGAGATGGTTCAGCTTTCTGGGGTCTGAATCCTATGCTCAGGCAAGCCAAGTCTGAGCTGATGTAGCCTCAACAGACCTCTGAAAGATTAGGGGTCTTTCCACAGTCAGATAAATACATTTGGGGATCACCGCATTCAATATTAGCAGGAGTAGGGTGGGCATGATATTTTTTTACATGGGACATGTGTGAACACACCAAGGCTTTGTGTAACAACAGGACCAGTGCCCTCCACCTCCTCAATCTGAGGTCTGAGCTTAAGTTCTTCAGGCTTTCAGTGTAAATTAATTAATCGGGGTTCAAGTTAATAAATTGTGATCCTGTAGATTTTTTAGGTATGGAGCCATCTTCCATGCCCTGGAGGACCCAATATTCAGATTCCCTGGCACCCTTGGATGTATCAGTTACCATGCTAGGCAGTAGGGCTGCAAAGGTGACTAAAACAGCCCTTGAGGAGGTGAGAGTCTAGGGCAACATTGCCAACAGAACTGTCTATAATGATGGAGGAGTCCCCGGGTGTAACAAACAAGTAAACACTACATCACTAACTAAAAGGCTGGCATGCAAACCCACCCAGAGGTGCCTTGGAAGACAGGCCTGGAAATCTGCTTCTGAAAGTCACAATGTTGAAAGTTCTGCAGAACAGTTCTACTCTGCATACAAAAGGTCACAATGAGTCAGATAGGGCTCCAACTGCAGCTACCTCTGTGCTAGTCAATGCAATATCTACGGTTCAGATGTGACTTCTGAGTACTTGAAATGTAACCAGGGCAGTTGAGGAACTGAGTTATTTTATTTTATTTTATTTCACTCTAATTTAAGTGTAAGTAGCCACATAGAGCTATCGACTATTGTAGTGGACATTACAGTACTTGTGGACACAAAATGAATAATGTGAAAGGCCTAAGACTGGAAGTCAGAGATGTGAATTTGAGCCTTGATCCTGGCCCCAACTAGTTGAGTGACTTTGTTCAAAGCAAACTTATTAAGACTTATTTGTTACCTCTTGGGGTTACTGTGGAAATTAAATTGTAAATGTACTTTAAAAAAAAAAAAGTTCTTTATAAGTGGTACCATGAAAATATTAAGTGCTATTATAATGAATCCTGCTTGTATTAACTCTCTTGAAGAATCTACAATGCTTTCAATGACATTTTCTGTAAATTTGCACCTTAAAGGATTGCTTAGTTACAGGCAATCGGGGTGTTAGTGAAAACCTGTAAGCCCATTTAATGAATAATTGTTCTCCTTTTCTATTATAAGGTTTGTAGTGAGAACTGCTCCTGTTGCTGCTAATGTATGTCTGGGGATATAAGTGGTGATATCACAAAGGAGCTCTGGTAGAGTAGTGGTTACGAATAGGGCTACAAACCACAAGGTCAGCAGTTCGAAACTACCAGCTGTTCTGTGGGAGAAAGATGAGGTGTTCTGCTCCTGTAAAGATTTATAACCTCGGAAACCCTGTACAGGGTCACTATAAGTCGGAACCGACTCCACGGCACACAGCCACCATCACAAGCGTCCGCCTCCCCTCAGATCAACTGAGAGTTCCCTCCTCAGTGATTTCTCCTGGTGCCTGTGATTAGAGGTGATTAGAGGTGAGGGCTTGTGCAACTTCACTCCACATCAACTCCGACTGTGTTTCAAGGAAAACCGTGCCTGACTCGTGTAATGAAGATGACATGACATTATATACTATGTCTTCTCATGGTCCATTTGCCCGCCTGTCCCCCTTGTGTTGATACATGGATATTGCAGAATGTAGTCTTACCCGTCAGAGAAGGGGTAGCCCCAGATATTCAAACTACTTATGTGACATTTAGGACCCTTATTAATTGCCACGGCTGAGATGACAAATGAATATCCTGCACCCAAAAATCCAATTGCAGCAAATATTGTGGAGGTGAACATCTGAAAGAGAACAAGAGAGATGGCCCAGTTCTTAAAGAGGTCCAGAACACACATTCAGCAAACCTAACAATCCTGTTAGTGGACATGCTGGTTACTGGGAAGTTATGAACTAAAGCCAGTTTTCAGAATAGAATGTAGTAGAAAGTAGTCTTCAGGGTCTTCCATAATGAATTTTGGTGTCTTTTACCTCACTTCACTCCCATCCCCATATATTTTACAACTACTCATTGATGACTGAAGTTCTGTGGCTATCATTTGATAACCTTGAACCATAGATTTTAACCTTGTCAAGGATAAATCATCTTCAAAGGGATGATATGTAAGTCCAATTGCCTATAGAATCAAAGAATTTTAGAATTGTCAATTATCTTAAAAATATTCTGTTCGTATCATTCCACTGAGGATGCTCAGGTGTTGCAGTGGGTTAAGTACTGGACTGCTAACCACATGATTGGTGATTCAACCCCATCAGCCTCTGTATGGGAGAAAGGTGAGGCTGTCTGCTCCTGTAAAGATTTGCAGTCTCAGAAACCCGAGGGAGCAGTTCTACTCTGTCGTGTAGGGTTGGTATGAATTGGAATTGACTCAGTGGCAGTGGGTTTGGTTTTGAGTTTACCATCCCACTGAAGGATGTGACTGTGGAATCTTAGATTCTGTTTACTAGAAACAGTAGAAATCTAGAACATATCCTCATTGGCCCCAGTTACCTTCTTCTGTTAGGCGAACAAGATTAAATCCGCTCTCTTCCATGTAGATTCTACAGCCTTTAAAACACCTGAGGAGAACCATGATGTCGCTCCACCCCTTCTACCATCTTAATGGTTTCTCTTCTTTGGGTTAATCAATCCCAACAATCCCAGTTCTTTTACTTTTTTTTTTTTTTTAATGACAGAAATTAGTTAGTGAAAATAGATTGAACTAAAATCTTTCTTTTAAACATATTAATTATAAAATCAAAGTAAAATTACAGACTGAAGGAATCCTAGAGTTCACCCAGGCATGAGGCAAACAGACCTGGGTCTGAATTCTGCCTCCTCCGTTAAGACTTTGAGAAGTTAATCATCCTAAATCTCCACTCCTTCTTTTGTAAAATAGGGTTCAGTAGAAAAGAACCTGCCTCACAGAGGTCAAAAATATGTCAGAAAACCTCATCAACAGTAAGCAGTAAATCAAAGGTCCACATTCTAGAAAATCAGATAATCTCCAGGTGGGGTGGGCTGCTAGATAAAGCTCAGAACTTCACCGATAGGACACCCTGAAATCTCTGTGGCCTGTTTCCAACTTTTGGATAATCTCCCATGACAACCACCAACCTTCCACTTGATCAATGGTATTGTTATTATATTGCATTACGTTATATTATTTTATTATTATTGCACCACACACACTTCTTTTCCGCAAATACAGAGAGTATTACTTTGGAGAGAAAAAGAAAAGTAAACAAACTCTAGGTTGAATTAGCACACCACTTTTATTCATATTGCTAAAGAAATACTCATATATATGTATGTACATATAAGCACTGGGAGATGAAAATACCTTGTAATCAGAGAACTCTAATTCCCCATTTGTCACCTCTCAGTCAGATTCAAATCAATGTGATCAGACCCCAACTCTGCCATCCTTCCTTGGTGTGTCCTTGATCAGAAATATACTTATGTTGCTCCAAACAGATGGAGGAAGAAAAAGTGGGTGGTTTTGAGACCTGGGCAGGGAGATTCCACCTTCTCATTGGGGCCTCAGGGGTTGGTGACCCCAGTGCAGAAACTTAGGATATCATCTCCCTCCCCAGGATTCCGGGTGTGGTGCTATAAGATAAGAACTGGACTTCTAACCACAAGATTGGTGGTTCAAACCCACCAACCACTCCTCAGAAACCCTATACAGGGATGCTATGAGTCTGAACTGACTCAAGGTCACTTAACAACAATGTGTGGGACAGGCCTGTGGAAAACCCCTCACAGTGGATGGAGAAGCCCTGCCCCATCCCCAAATATCACTCTGAGGGGCCCACCCAACAAGTCCCTTCCCACCAGCACCCTACAGCTAGCTCCTATCCTCGCCCATTGGCCATCGAAGATCCTATTCTTGGATCAATGTCAGAGGACTGTAGCCTGCCTGCCACACCCTGATTTGTGTGTGTGTGCTGATAACAAGTCAAAACTGGATGACAGACGACACCAACCCTAGAACCCCAGGCACGCCATTGCCTTGGCCATCTCTGCTTCTGAACCCTCGGCCCTCTAGCTGCCAACACCACCTCCAAAGACCCTGGGATTATTTTAGTGTTGCCCTCTCTGACAGTGTTGGAGGATGATGCCACTGCTTTGTAGTGTTTATGGGAATTGTTGTTAAGTGCCATCAAGTTGGTTTCCAAGCAGAGTTGGTAGTTTTGAACTGCTGACCTTGTTAGAAGTCCAGTGCGTATCCCACAGCACCACACCAGGACTCCTTATAGAGATTGTTCCTGTTGTTGTTAAGTGCGGTCAAGTCAGTTCCAACCCATATTGACCCTATATATGGTTTCCAAGGAGCAGCTGGTGAGCTTGAACCACCAACCTTGCAGTTCAAACTGAACTTGCATTCCAGCGCATTAACCCACAGTGCCATCATACCAGGACTCTTGTAATGAAGATTACAAGGGCCTTTTATCCTTAAAACATTAATCCCGTACTTTGTGCCTTGGGTGGAGGGCATAGCAGACATGGACCTCAAGTCTCTCATTTATAAAATGAGGGACTGAATGCCTAACTCACAGGGTCATTGTGAGATTGAGATAAGGGATGTGAATCACCTGAAAACCCTCCTAAATGCTCACTAACTTCGCTAATCCAACAAGCATTTATTGAGGACCTATGTACCATTAATACTCCAGGCACTTTGTGGATAATTTTCCCTGGTTGCTATGAGTTGGTACCAACTCGATGGTACCTAATAACAACAACAACCCTGCACACTGGACTCCTAGTGTGACACTGTAAGATCAGTACTGAGATTTTGAACCACAAGGTTGGCAATTCAAACCCACCAGCTGCTTCTTGGAAACACCATACAGGGTGGCTATAAATTGGAACTAACTTGATGATACTCAGCAGCAGCAACAACCTTGCATACTAATCCTTGCAACATCTCCCTATCCTTTCAAATGTTCTTATGAAAGATAGCAACTATCATGATCTGTTTTACAGCGGTGGTGGTGGCTGTGTGCCGTGGAGTCCATTCCGACTCATAGCGATCCTGTACAGGGTTTCCGAGGCTGTAAATATTTTACGGGAGCAGAAAGCCTCATCTTTCTCCCCCGGAGCAGCTGGTAGCTTCGAACTGCTGACCTTGCGGTTCTCAGCCCAATTCATAACCACTACGCTACCAGAGCTCCTTTATTTATTTATTTATTTTAGAACTTTAATTTCTTCATTTAAGACAACCTAATCTTTAAAAGATCAGGTTGTCTTAAATGAAGAAATTAAAGAATGGATCCCCATGTTTTCACTAACTCTTTTCTGCACTCCAAAGTCCTCTACTGTAAAATAGATCATGATAGTTGCTATCTTTCATAAGAAACCACCACTCGTCTGTCAGTTTGTCATACTGTGGTGGCTTGTGAGTTGCTGTGATTCTGAAACCTATGCCACCAGTATTTTAAATACCAGCAGGGTCACCCATGGTGGACAGGTTTCAGATCAACTTCCAGATGAAGAGAGACTAGGAAGAAGGAGTGACGAACTACTTGCGAATATTTAGTCACTGAAAACCTTATGAATAGCAGAGAAACATCTTAGGCATTAGTGAGCTGAAATGGACTGGTATTGCCCATTTTGAATCTGACAACCACATGGTTTACTATGCTGGGAATGACAAGTTGAAGAGGAATGGTGTTGCATTCATCATCAAAAAGAACATATCCAGATCAGTCATGAGGTACAATGCTGATTGTGATAGGATAATATCCATTACGCCTAAAGGGAAGCGCAGTTAATACCACTATTATTCAAATTTATGCACCAACCACTAAAGCCAGTGAGGAAGAAATAAAAGAATTCTACCAACTTCTTCCATCTGATCAAACATGCAATCAAGATGTATTGATCATTAGTGGTGATTGGAGTGCAAAAGTTGGGAACAAAGAGGCAGGATCAGTGGTTGGAAAATATGGCCTTGATAGAAATGATGCAGGAAAATGCATCATAGAATTCTGCAAAATCAATGATTTGTTCATTTCAAAAACCTTCTTTAGACAGCATAAGAGATGACTATACACATGGACCTCACCAGATGGAATACATAGAAATCAAATTGACTATATTTGTGGAAAGAGATGATGGAAAAACTCCATATCGTCAGTGAAAACAAGGCCAGGGGCTTTGTGGAACAGACTGTGGAACAGACCATCAATTACTCATATGCAAATTTAAACTGAAGCTGAAGAAAATGAAAACAAGTCCAAGAGAGCCAAAATATGACCTTGAATATATCC